TAAACTTACGATGCAATTCTATAAGTTATATAAGTCTTAAAGGACTCAATACCCAATTGAAGGGTTGGGGAAACGAGGCGTTTTTTCCAGGGATTGAATCAGACCAGGCCCCCAGAGACACCAATCAGACCTGAGCCCCAGAGACACCAATCAGACCAGGCCCCCAAAGACACCAATCAGACCTGAGCCCCAGAGACATCAATCAGACCAGCCCCCCAGAGATACCAATCAGACCAGCCCCCAGAGACACCAATCAGACCTGAGCCCCAGAGATACCAATCACACCAGCCCCCAGAGACACCAATCACACCAGCCCCCAGAGACACCAATCAGACGAGGCCCCCAGAGACACCAATCAGACAAGGCCCCAGAGACACCAATCAGACCAGGCCCCCAGAGACACCAATCAGACCAGGCCCCCAGAGACACCAATCAGACCAGGCCCCCAGAGACACCAATCAGACCAGGCCCCCAAAGACACCAATCAGACCAGCCCCCAGAAACACCAATCAGACCAGCCCCCAGAGACACCAATCAGACCAGCCCCCCAGAGACACCAATCAGACCAGCCCTCAGAAACGCCAATCAGACCAGCCCCCCAGAAACACCAATCGGACCAGGTCCCAGAGACACCAATCAGACCAGCCCCAGAGACACCAATCAAACCAGCCCCCAGAGACACCAATCAGACCAGCCCCCCAGAGACACCAATCAGACCAGCCCCCCAGAGACACCAATCAGACCAGGCCCCAGAGACACCAATCAGACCAGCCCCCCAGAGACACCAATCAGACCATGCTCCAGAGACACCAATCAGACCAGGGGCCCCAGAAACACCAATCAGACCAGGCCCCAGAGACACCAATCAGACCAGCCCCCCAGAAACACCAATCAAACCAGCCCCCCAGAGACACCAATCAGACCAAGCCCCAGAGACACCAATCAAACCAGCCCCCAGAGACACCAATCAGACCAACCCCCAGAGACACCTATCAGACCAGCCCCGCAGAGACACCAATCAAACCACCCCCAGACACACCAATCAGACCACCTCCCAGAGACACCAATCAGACCAGCCCCCAGAGACACCAATCAGACCAGCCCCAGAGAAACCAATCAGACCAGCCCCCCAGAGACACCAATCAGACCAGCCCCCAGAGACACCAATCAGACCACGTCCCTAAAGACACCAATCAGACCAGGCCCCAGAGACACCAATCAGACCGGCCCCCAGATACACCAATCAGACCAGCCCCCCAGAGACACCAATCAGACCAGCCCCCAGATACACCAATCAGACCAGCCCCCCCAGAGACACCAATCAGACCAGGGCCTCAGAAACACCAATCAGATCAGGGCCCCAGAGACACCAATCAGACCAGCCCCCCAGAGACACCAATCAGACCAGCCCCCCAGAGACACCAATCAGACCAGCCTCCAGAGACACCAATCAGACCAGGCCCCAGAGACACCAATCAGACCAGCCCCAGAGACACCAATCAGACCAGCCCCAGAGACACCAATCAGACCAGCCCCCAGAGACACCAATCAGACCCATGAGACTGAGCCAATTCCTGTGTCCCCCACAGGTGGAGTCTGAGAGTGATGCTGAACCAGATGTCATCCCCTTACAAGAGGGATGCCGGCCTGGGGATCAAGAGCTAAACCCAGCCATACTTCTACCCCCAGATCGCTACAAATACGCTCCAGTGTCTCCCCACGTCCCCCTGGTGAGTATCTACTCTCTACACCCCCCTATTGTCTATCGATCTACCACTCCGAAGAAAATCCTGTTTTTCCTTAACTGGAAAGGTCTACGGAGACATATTAATTATTCATTTAACGTTTGTAATGGCTATTGAAATTGAAATAAGTTTATTGATGTAAAATACACACAAAGGGATGAGGTAGCTCAAGCTATTCTCACCCCGTTCAGTACAACGTGTTAATACATACATAGACACACATCACAAACAATAAACATATTACTGAACATTCTGAGAGATTAAACATCTACATTTCCTCCTTATGTAGTGGCTATGGTATTGTGTGAGTATAATTTTGGCTGTGAGGTATAATTTGTGTCTTTTTTCTTGTCCGTAGCAAGCTGTGGGTCGCTATGACGGCGTAGCGACGACGGTCCCAGCAACGTCCTTCAAGCCAACAGATGTCTCAGGCTACACACTACCTTACGACACGCAGAACAGCGAGTGCCCGCACTCACAACATCTCCAGCTTCCCACCTCGGCAACTCTACCGAGGTCGGCGCATCGTCCGCCGGGTCAAAATTGCCGTCATTCTCCTCCCATCAATCCCCATCAACTGCCTTTTCCAGGAATTGAAGGCAGTCTTCCCCCGCCGCCTGTTGAGTACCAGAACTCGAGAAGGAAGCGGGGCTCTCTCGGAGAAAGTGCATGCACTCACTCTGCAGGAGAGGAAGATACTCCAAGCACTCCTTTGCTTGCCAAGAGAGAGAGTTCAGTATGATAGCAAGAATGAT